GGAAGCTGTTCCAGGCGGTGAGGTCGGAAACACGGGCGGCCTTGGGGAAGCTGCGGGGTGGCCTTCCCGCCTGGCGGGCTTTGCTCTCTGGCTTTGCGGGAGGATTTCATTTCCCCGGAGCTCTGCAGAGACGGAGCTTCCTCTGCCTCCTCGGGCAGGGCCGCGTTTCGTCTGATCTGGGGAAGAGTCAAGTAATAACAGTGCGTTCTGCGTAAGCCCCGTGGTTCTACCGTCCCCTGCGAGGAGGCCAGGTCGCTCCCATACGACGTTTCCTTTAAATGCTCTCACCCGTCGGTTGTCTGGGGGTGGGAAACAACGCGGAGAGGCATCTGAGCCTCTGCTGCGAGACAGGCCCTGTTACAGAATCATAGAATAGTAAGGGTTGGAAGGGACCTTAAAGCTCCTCTGGTTCCAACCGCCCTGCCATGAGCAGGGACACGTTGTTGTCGTCTGTTCCAAGAACTAGTTATTTTTCCACATTTTATTTGCTGCCGAGGGGTTCATCCACGCTGCTAAATACCATGGCAAAAGTGAAACGTTTTCCCCGCTCTCGCCCTCTCCCATCAACTTCTGATGAAGTGGTTTTGCTCTTAGAAACGTTGCTGAAATGCAAGCGTGCTGACTGGTGGTAACAAGTTTGAAGTGGCTTTGGAGCTTTTAGTGAGGTTTAGCACACGTCTCAGCATGTTATTACTAAACCGTGCATAAAACGCTGCCAGTGCTCCTTTTGCACATACGGAGAAACCCCGTATTTTGTTTTATGTTGAGCTTGTCTTAGGACAGCATTGCCTAGCTGTTAAATTTGGCTACTGTCAGCTGCGATGCGTGGTTTAGATTAGAGGATACCTTCTGAAAAGTGGTTCAGAAAAGCTAATCCATCTGTTGTGACTTGGATAGGTTAATGTAAAGCCCTGGTAGCTCAGCTACTCTCTAAGCTGATTCACAGGCCTCAGTTGGCCTAAGATTTTAACTCCTGGGAAGGATAATTTGGAAACTGTAGAATGGTTGGATGTTGCCTGGAAAGAAAGCCACTCAATAAAGGAATAAGCAAGGGGAATAAAGTTACACCTTTTGTAAATGGTTTGCCTTTTTCAGGTGTGAGTTTGGCTGCCACATGAAATAAATGGATCAAGTAGCATGGTTTGCCAGCAGTAGCCTGTAGTACTAGCTGCAAAAGTCAGGGAAGGTAGAAGTGGGCCAAATGGTTTTTTTCCCATAATTTGTAGTTCATGTGCTGTTGATTTGTGCTAAGAAGGCTGATAAATGTAGCCGCTTTGATGTATTCTTAAGATTGCACTGATAGCTATTAAAAATTATATTCATAAGAGTTCATGTAATCGTAAGTCAGGTAGTCAGGTTCCCCGGCTGCTCTGCGAGCTGTGTTGCATTTTTAACTCAAATGATGCAGTGGTAATTTTATGAGATGGAAGAACCTTCCTGTCTGAGGGCTGCAAGACAAGGTCTATTCTGAAACCTAACCTAGGGCTTTGGAAACCTGACATTGTAGAGTGAAGTTTAATTTTCAGTTGCAGCAAGTTTTGTTTATGAGCAAAAGGTGTTGCAGCCCTTGAGGGTATGACTGATGTGAGATACCAGAATTACAGCCTTCATTTGACCACATGGTATTTCAGCTTTCTAACAGCAGAAGTTCTCATTTCTATACAGTCAACTGAATTCGGAAAAAAAATACTTTTCTGGTGGAACTTTTTAAACTGTCACTCGTACATAGGGTTATCGCACCCACTTGTGGAGGAGATCAGAACTACAGAAGCTGAGATAAATGAGCCTCTCATTTTCACCTATTATTTTAGATGTTAGTGATAATTCAAACCACTGAAGCTGTGTAATTTTTTGTTATTTGAAGTCACAAGCCACCCTTGAATCTCTCCACTGCAGAAGAGAGCAAGCTGTGCTGAAAAGAACTTCTGCCATGACATGAGGTTCTAGTATGTATTTGTAACTGATGCGGGTAAGTATTAATACTGTTGTACGAACCATTACTGTAGGTGCTTGTGGGATTTAGGGTACAGTTGTGGTAATCTGCGTTTGAGAAAGATACACTGATAAATGCAAGTTTACGTAGAAGGATTAGTGTGATCAGTGGAACCGGATTTCCTCTGACGGGAGACTGAAAGAGGAAGACTTATTCAGCCTGATCAAAAAACAGTTTAACAAGGATACATTTCACTGCCTGCTCTCTTGATATGTTTATATTGTCAATCAAGAAGGCTATAATCCTTTCCAAACGTAGGAGGTGAATTTGTTGTAGCTAGGTGTGTAAGGGTTTTGTATTTTTAAAGCTGGATGCTTGGGGCATCACACAGCCTCCTTTGGCTGACCAGGAACCTCTTGGAACTGCTGTGCTGGGCTGCGCTTCTTTTGCGTAAGTTTGGTGGAAAGCCTGGTCTTGTGTTTTAGAGTCACAGCAAGAGACCGTGGCCATTGTCCAGCTCTTAAATCCTAAGTGAAGAGAGCTTGAGATATTGCTCTCTTCAAGCACAAATGGGTAACGGCTAACTGAACTCACGTGGGGTAGAACTTGGAAGATAAGTGAGGTTCTAGAACAGGTTTTGCTACAAACAGTAATAAGGTAGATGGTAAACCTACATAGTTTTAAGATGGAGCATCATTGCTTTAAGAAAGGATTATATAACATGTTCCTGAAAGAACAGAATTGGATTTAAGAAGTCAGGGTTCCTTTTTAGGATTTATGTTATGTAAAGACAATTTGAATGATTGACCACTATGACCTGTTTCATCCAACAAGACTGTCTTAAGACTTAAGAAAGGGCCTGCCCTGAATACGTACTGAGGAAATGGATTTATGTACGTTAGTTTTAATTCTGCTGATAACCAGAAATATTTCGTACTACCTATTCCTCTTAACTACTTTGTGGAATTAAATGCAAATCTTATGTGTAAGAAAGCTGATGTTGCTGCATGCTCTTAAATGGTTCACATATGTGCAGTAGATGTTGTCAAAAAAGGATAAAGATGAAGTGAAAAATGAAAGTGCTAAACTGAGTATGATAGAGAAGGTGATCACTCCCTTCCGGTACTGTTCATTGCTAGAGACCCCACAGAGCCTGGTTAAGCCCTAGTTGAAGTCAACAGAAAGATTCCTGTTGACTTTATGGAAAGCTTACTACCATCAACACTCAATGGCAGAGATCTTTAAGACTGTCTCACCTCCCCTGGTGTTTAAACTGGTTTACTTCCTTGTGCTGTCTTTTTGGCTATGATTCATGCCGATTTTCAGGACTTCAGTATTACAACATAATGTCAGAGATGAGCTTCCTTGGAATAAGAGTTTCTGTGGTGAAAACGTGCCATAGCTCCGCAGTGAGACAGGGGACTAATGGTGAATCTCTAATGCAGCCTGTTTTACTGCTGCCTGGTGTGCCTCTCAGCTGGTAACAGGCAGAGAGAGTGAGTGGACAATCTTCTCTTCCTAGGGAGCGTTAGGATGCAGGCTGAGGCATTGAGCTGCAGGTGCAGAGCCTTGCTTTGGGCATATATTCAGCTGCCTTTTGCACGGCGTGAGCGACGTCATTCCCAGTAAGAGAGAGTGACATGCTTGGGTCACGCTAACTCCACGTGCCACCTAGATTTGCAACACAGGGGTGACTTTTTGACCTAGTTTTTTGGATGGAAGGATTGAGTCACGTACGTGTTTATTTGTGTTGTGTGTAAGGTGGAGGTAGGTTCTAGTTCTGATTCTTTCTCAGTAGCAGACAGTTTTTACCCCTGAAGTCTAATTGCTCTAAGGTTTTTTTCCTCTTTCACAGCGGAGTGCGTATTCCCGTTGCAGTAATGCTGTGTTGACAGGGCACTTCACCTAGATCAGAATGAAACAGTTTGACTTGAATGGATCAATTTTGTCCATGCATGTGTCTGACCTTCGAATAGTGAAGGAGGGTGTCTACTGCCAGCGTAGGCAGCTGACAGGACTATTACAACTATGTAAGTCAGGGATTTGACCCAAACTTCCACTTCTCCTTTGAATTGTTTGATTCTGAAACCATCAGGTGGACCTGAAAATGTGAATTGCACTGCTGTCGCATGCCCCTAACTTCTCTCCGGCAAGTTTTATTTGTTAATTTAAAATGCAGAAATGAACCTTTTAACTTTACTCTGAAAGCAAATATTGACTTTGTTTCATAGCAATCTGGACTTTGCACGGGAGGGGGAAAGCCTGACGTTCCTGAAAATGGCATCTGAGACATCCGCAGAAGTTCCAAAAACTGCCAGACAATTCGTCCTTAAAGAAGAGGTATAGCATGCTTGGTTTTGGCACGTTTTGTTGTTAAATAACAATTATTTAGGACTGATCAGAATGTTTGTTAGTGCAGACTAAGAAATGCTATAGATGCTGTATGTAAAAGGTGTTCAATAGACAAAGTACTTCTTCCTGATGGTCAGAGCGTTTAAAAAAGGTGGCATTTCTCTTTGTTGAAATAATCATACAAATTGTCAGTGAGAAGAGAGAAATCTACAGTGTCGCATTATTTTAAGCAGCAGCTTTTTTTTTTTTATTTTGCAGCTGTTTCTTACATTGTCTGTTCAGGGTATTCTCAGTGTTCAGAAATAATGCTGCCACGTCCGAGAGACTATACAAGTAGGTGGATCGTGAAGCTCAGCCTTTTTTTCCCGTTCCTCTGGGGTGAACCACTAAGAGTGGCCTTAATATTTAAGATTGTACCTTCTTTGATGCTTTCTGAAAGGGTTTGGATTTAGATGATCACTGTTCCAAAGACATTAGTAAGGAGGTAGTAAGATCTTTTTCAAAAATACTATGCTCGCATCTTCACAGACTCAGAAAATATCAGGTCCTGAGGAAGGAATTTGGAGGTACTTCTGGGTGCTTAATAGGAGCACTTTCACTCTAACTTAAACTCCCTGTATTTGTTTCTGTTCTCTTTTAGGTGGATTCTTAAAAGTTAATCTTTGGTGTTAAAGGCAAGGTTTGGCAACAGCATCGCACTTGTTATAACACAAGTGTAGTTTCTTTTATCCGGTGTTCCTTCCTTGGAATGAACAGAGTGTTGTCATTTCTTTAGGTTTTAAGGTCCAAAACTTTTTCAGGAGAGACTCACATTGTTGGGGTATATTTATGGCTTTTGCCCTTGCGTAGTGTCTTAATATAAATATTTCTCAAGCGTAAAAGGGTTTCATTTTTTAAGCTTTTTGGGTTTTCTATTAAGACTTGTGATTTTGCAGGTAACAGTTTCATTTTATCCTCTTTTTTCTTTTTTTCTTTTTCATAAGGCCTCTTCTGCTGTTTTGGAATATTGCATTCTTTGGTGTCACTGGAAGTTTGTAATTAGATCTTTCATACTGTAAGCTATTTAGCTTTTTCAGTCATTTTGTGGGATTAATACAGGAGAGTATTTACTGTGCCCCTGCCAGCTGCCCTTACATTGCAAGTGGTTCTGTAACTCTGCAGTAACTACGTGTTCTGATGTTGGAGTATCTTCTTTCATGAAAGTAGTAGCTGATCTTATTTCCTTCTTCCTGTTTCTGGGAGCCCGCAGTCAGACTGTTGTAAGCAAAAGCAGGTGTTATTTGTCCATCAAAGTAGTAGATAAAGCGATAGAAATAACTCATTCTAAAACTGAGTATGGAAAGTGCAACCCACCCTGCAAAGTGTCCTTAGGCCCTAAATAGGGGATTTAGCAAAGCAGAAGTTACGCTCCTGGGCCAGCTTCCGGAGTTTTAACTGTGCGCCCGAGGAGGCGTGACAGTGAAATTCTCTCTTTCTTCTAGGGAAACCTGACAAGTTTCAGTCTTCTCACCCTGTAGGCTGTTAGCAGCAAGAGTTTCACCAAACTTTAGAGGATTGTGGAACACTTCCACTGTAAATTTTTACGCTACATGTCCTATAGTATTTTTTAATTATTGCTCCACAATAGTAGAGGCCAAAAGCTGTACTTAGGGATGTCTGATTAAAAACAAGACACTTTGATGTTGTTTGTTTTGTGCACATGAAACCTACTTTTTTCTTTTTCTTTTTTTTTTTTTCTTTTGTCTTTTTGGATCTTGGATAGGTCTAATTTCTTAAAGACTATGAATTTCTTTTTCTTTTACGATTCCAGGGGACAGTGATGTGGTTCTGATTTCAGCCATTTTCCCCTTTCTGCTTAGCAAGTGATAACTTGGTGACAGGGACAATGATCTGCCAGTTCTGTTGAATGCTGCTGCAGTGTGGGACCATGATCAATAATCTAGTGCTTTGTGTTCTCTGCAGTGTTTAAAAAAAATCATTAACACAAAACATTTGGCTGTATTAACTTAAGTAAATATATTCCTCTCCTTGGACAACGAATGGAACATGATATTCGTCTGTTTCTCTTTTGGCTCTTCCTGTACTCTAGTTCTGCAGTGATATAGAAATGGATACAAACCCGTTTAAAATACACGTGAATGTTTCCAAACAGAATTACTTCTTGTCCCTGTAATGAGCATAATATACTTCATCTTCTCCTTTCCTGCTGTTTTTGTGACCGCAAATCTGTTAGAAAGCCCTTTCGAGAACAGAGTTCTCCTTTTCCAATTCCTGTTATGTGGAAATATGGTACTTTCCAAAATAAAAGCCAAATATCCTACACATAAAATACGTGTAGCCACATTTACGACCAACTGACTATCAAAATAATTGTTCTGAAGAACACATTTTAAGAATTACATGAGTTCATCCAGCTCTGTTAGAATTAACTGGATACCTGAATCACTTCTGATTTACCTTCTGCCTCCAGCCGATGCTATACTGTGCTTCTGTACTCTAGTTACACCTGCATCATGTATTATATTTCATTTCTCTAAATTCTTTTTTTAGTTGGTGGATCTCTCAGTTTGAAGTTCAAGATCTACATGGCCACACGGGCCTTATTTGCGCCTTACCCTGCACTAGAGGATTGTAGTGAGCCAGTCACATGAATGGCGTCTCGGACTTCATCCTCTGCTACAATTTAATGTTGTGGGTTTTTTCATGGAATCATAGAGTGGTTTGGGTTGGAAGGGACCTTTAAAGGTCATCTAGTTCCAAACCCTCTGCAATGAGCAGGGACATCTTCCACTAGGTCAGGTTGCTCAGAGCCCCGTCCAGCCTGGCCTTGAATGTCTCCAGGGATGGGGCATCCACCACCTCTCTGGGCAATCTGTTCCAGTGTTTCACCACCCCCATTGTAAAAAATTCCTTCCTTATATCCAGTCTAAATCTACCCTCCCTTAGTTTAAAACCATTACTCCTTGTGCTGTTGCAACAGGCCCTGCTAAAAAGTTTGTCCTCGTTTTCCCAGATCCTCTTTTCCCCTTGCGTATGCTTGCTCTGTTGCTGTCAGCAGTATGTCTGATTAGACAATAGGAAATGTTTTGTGCATCTCACTGATTGCTTCTGATATCTGTGGTCTGATATCTGCTTCTGATATCTGTATTCTGATACCTTCTGATATCTCAACCTATAGCCAAGTTGATACAAAGCTCTGGAGACAAGCTTCTTGCCTGCCTATACCTTTAGCAAAGCATAAAATACAAGTTACATTAAAAGAATGACACTGCTGGGCTAATGGATAGGGATTTTTCGCTTTTAAAGGAATTGCATAAAAGAGGAGGAAACATCACAGGGCAAATAAACTAATTTAGCTCAGAAGAGACGTTTTATGATGATGTTAATGTCAAGCACTCAATCAGCAGCTCTCAGAAATCCTAAAAGGGCAGGTATGTATCACTGCTCGCAGTTATGGAAAGCAGCGGTTACACAAGGCCACAGGCTGAGATCACGGCAAGAAGAGTTTCAGAATAGTTTGGGTTTGTCTTGCATGCTTAGCTGTTAGCCCGTGCTCTCTGATACGTGGGCACTGGTAATCACTGTGCAAACCAGTGACACTTTTTATTTTCTCATCTGAAATGTGACCTTTGCAAAATCCTCCTAAAAAGATGAGGACTTCCCAGTACATAAAATCCCACTGTGTTCATTGAGAATTGGTTATAAAAGTCACGCCAAGAGAACTTACTGGGCTTATTTCCTATTCCTGTTCAAGAACTTGGTGTAAATGTTTTTTTCCGTAATAGCTACGGGAGTGTTGTTGCATGTTCCTGCATGCATTCTGAGGCTGAGATTTTGTCTCCAGAAGAATCCAAAACTAGTTGTGTTTTTTCTCCCCTTAGCCCCCACATATCTTTGGGATTAATCTTATGATGTATTTAACAAATAATTCTTTATTTTAGGTAATTGTAGAAGGAAAATGGCTGAAGCTTGAAAAAACAACTTACACTGATCCTTTTGGTAAAAACAGGTAATTGCCTCTCTGGCATTACAGATGCTTGTAACGTTCCCAGTTGTACGGACTAGCCCCAGGCTGGAGAACACGAGCGTTACAATCCTGTTGCTCAACACAAGATGCAGTCTGCTCATTGCACAATTCCTGTATAGTTTGTTCTGTTCAGAGAAAATAAAAAAATCTTACTCTAGCAGGTGTGCTAGCACGTGGGATCAGATGTGGCTCCTAAATCCTTGTGGGCAGGTTGGGCCCTGGTTTACCTTGCGTTTCCCATTCCTTCGCAGGCTGCTGTGCAGAAGCAAGTTGTAGCTGTGCAGCTAGGCTGTGGTGGTCCGAGAGTCTGTCCCGTGGCTTTTTGGGTTCTTCATTTAGGGCTCCTTTTCCCCTGTTGATGGTGCTGGGTCTTGCATGCTATTGAGAAGTTACTGTCCTCTTGTATATCGTCACGCCTGTCCGATTCTGTTCTATGCTGTAGTTTTGCCGTATTTACCTAGATGTGATAACACGGCTTTACTTCCCTCCCCCCTTAATGTATTAGATTGTGTACTGATTGCTTTCTCTAATGCCTCCCAGTTCATCAGCAAAGTATCTTTTTAAAAACTGGCAAATATTGGACCTTTTGTGAAAGGGTTCTTATTGCTGGTGGATTTTTGGGTTTTACTCATCCCATTGCTTATTTTGAGAGAGGAGCTTGGGTCTTCCTTGCCTGTGTGCTCAAGTAACTGAGCAAAGAGTTCACGATAACTTACACTATAAAGCTTATGCAAAAGCAAGATAAAAGACAGAATGCACGTGATCTTGTTACAAAACCATCTTTCAAAATCTGACATGTTTTGTATGTAAATTGCTTTCTTCTGCACTTTTCCAGGATCACTTTTATAAGACTTGCCTTTGCTGTGACAATCATCTATGTCTTTCTCTTATCTTTAGTGATCTTAAACAATCGTTAATTAACTATTTTCTCCCTCCCTCCTTGAAGTAGGCAAACCAAAATTATATCAGACATTTTATAGTGCCAGTACATGACAAAGCTTGGCCAAGGTCAGCTGTTTTCTTATGGCGCCTCACTGTGTGATGGTATATTTTGCTTTTAAATGATACTAGCAAGAATAGAAAACTTACAGATAAAATGGATAGTGTTCATTGTAATGTATTTATTTGTTCTTTTCTCTGTGTTAAACAGAACTTGGGAAACTGTAAAACGTACTGGCAACAAAAAGAGTGTTTCAGCTGATGGTAAGACACAAACAGCTCAGCAGAGCTTGCTGTACCCCCGAGCCAATGAAATGCTAACTGCAGTGCTGAGAAATCAGAACTTTGCTGGTGGGAGCGTTCTCCCAAGATCACTGTATTCGCTTTAGAGCAATGGAGCAGTTTCAAAGACAGAGTGGATGCCCTGATACCGAGTAGCTCACAGACTGATGAACTGGGTCTGCTGTTAGGGGCTAGGGATGCGGCTCTCTTTGGACAGAAGAGGGACGTGATTTAGCCGTGAAAGGCGTGTAGGAGAGGGTTCCGTACAGTGGCTTCCAAACAGTCTCTGCAGGCCAGAGAGCCCTTCTCTAGATATTGGTGGGCTAAGGCACGGTGTTGCTTGGTACGTGTGCCTCGTTTGCTGGGGTACTTTGAAGATCCCGTTTGGGGCTTTTATATCTCTCACCACGCGTGGTGTAAGGAGCTTGAATTTTTAGTTCAGGATTCTGGAGCAGGCATCTAAACATTTAATGCTCAGAGTAACAGTGCTTGGGTTCCTTTCCAGATCTAGCACTAAATACTCAATTTCTGCAGTACAAATACTGTGTACTTCTGTCTTCCATCACCATTTGTAGGTGTAGCAGTGATACCGGTACTACAGAGAACGCTCCACTACGACTGCATTGTCTTAGTGAAACAGTTCAGGCCTCCAATTAACAGCTATTGCTTGGAATTTCCTGCAGGTAAGTGACTGAAACATTAAGATGAGTCACGTAAAGCTGACAGTTAAGTGTGTTTAGATGTGCTTGGAGTGTCGATCTTAATGAAGTAGCTCTAATCAGAGAGCCACGGTGAGGTCTGTAACTCAGTGTGCTATTCAGAAATAGGAATATTTGATAATGAAGAATACAAAATAAGTTCATTTTAGCAGATTGGAGACATTTTGCACAGTAGACTGGTAGTAGAATGTTGCATTTCCCTCCAGTCCTTTTTCTAAGAGTCAAAGCATTTGGCTTCTTTCCCTTATGAGAGTATTAATGCCATTTCCTGGGAAGGTAGCACGCTTCTGTCGATAATCAGTGGAAGACGTGGGCAGGAGCATGATGAATCCTGGAACTGGAATCCTTCTGAACGCCTCGGTTTATCCCTCTTAGGATAGTGACAGCGTTCCACCTCGTTTGTAAAGCTGGATTAGATCTCGGGAGGAGTGTTGTGGTTAAGTGCTAACTTTTCTATTGTTCTTGTGTTTTATTTCTCTCACAGGCCTCATCGAAGAAAATGAGACTGCAGAAAGTGCTGCATTGCGAGAGTTGGAGGAAGAAACTGGGTACAAGGGGGAAGTCGTTGAATGTACTCCAGGTCTTTGCTTTTTTTTTTTTTATTTTTCCAAAGCTAATTCTGTCTGTGATGGGTACTCTAAATGTCTAAAATGCTCCAAACCAAAGGAGAAACCTATGCAGAAAAGTCTGTGGAGATTAGCAGAGAGCAGTATCCCAGGGCTGTATCAATGTGATGTTGGCCCTTGGTGAGTTGGTTGCTGAACTCAAACATACGGGACTGAAGTAACAGTTCGATGTCCATAGGGGAAAACTTTGCTGTTAAGATCCTTTACACAAACCCCAGTTATTCAAGCTGTGATTTGGCATGTTAGTATAGAGGTCTGAATTTCTGGACTTGGTGTGAGCAACATCCGTGAGCGTAGGGAGAAAACAGCAGCTGCGTGGTGCAGTCCGAGTGGAGGTCACCCTCGTGTCAGCTGGGGGGGGGGACAGCCCTCAGGTTCTCCAACCGGGAAGAAGAAAGGAGACAATAACTGGAGTAAATCCAGAGATCCTTTGGAACGTGATTGTTGCCAATCCAATGCTTCCTACGTAAGCTAAAATGAAGGAAAATGAGGATCATAAATAAAACTTCAGAAGGTGGGTAGAAAGGTGAAGCAACTTGCGTATGATTTCAAATAAATGTCATTACGGTTGAGACTTGCCTCTTGATTATCCATAGAACTGCGTGTGGGGGACTGAGAGAGATGGAGGCAGGGGATGGCAGAATTAGACTCTCATAGGCTGAGGAAGTCTAGAAGGGAACAGTAGTTTACAGTTTAATCTGCAGTCTGTGGAGTGGCAAGTAAACCCAGTTGCTGAAAGCAAGTCTTACAAGGAATCTGTGAAAGAGCCGAGACTTACAGAAACATTACTTTTAAGAACATGTGAAAACAAACTTTTCACAACTCTTCCAGCATGAGCTTCTGCCAAATGTATGTTCTTCCATTGTATCAGATACATTTCTGTGAAAGTCCTTGTCAAAATGTCAAGGTCCCCAATGTCTGCTTTTGAAAAATTAACCTGTATACGTGCTTGTTGGCAGCTCTCTGCTTGGACCCAGGTTTGTCAAACAGCACGACGCACGTTGTGACCGTCACCATTAACGGAGATGACGCTGAGAATACAAGACCTAAGCAAAAACTTGGTGAGTGTCGTACCGTTAATTTGAAAACTCTGAGAAGATAACAAACAATGGGTTTAAGAGAATTATCCCTACCACTGCATGTCTTCTGTCCCAGCTGATGTAGATGCTGTATGTCCTTCAAATGATACCCTGCAGTCTAGATAGGCAGAGCTGTATTTCTTCACTAAATTTACTGGGGAGGCCTAGATGTTAGGTGTCAGGTGTTGGCACACCCAGAATGAGAAGCTGAGGTGCCAAGCTTCAGAGGGCTGTGAGCACTTGTGAACACAGATACTTCTCTTAGTTGTGGCTTGACCCTGGAAGTAGCTACAGTGTCACTCAGCGATCAGTCAGCTAGTGAAATGCGTTTTTAGTTGTGAAGTCAAGTGTGTTTCAAAACCTTAACTTGCTGCTTTGTTTTTTGCTTGCAGATGATGGAGGTACGTTGTGTGTCTGTGCTCCTGGTGACAGTAAGGTCAGGTGTGATCTTCGTATGGCAAGTTTTACTTAGAAGAACTCAGTTAAAACTGGTTTTTATTTGGGCTTGGTTAATCTCCTGACCGTAATCAAACATGCAGGAGATTTGGCCTAGACATGAACATTCCTGTGGGGTGTTACCGCATCAATGATCATCAGGTATTGCACCTATAGCACCAGTATCTCAGGAAATACAAACTGCTGAATCCACAGCAGCTGTGGATCAAGCCCCAAAGACAGAGGATTCAGATGGACAGGGGAGGTGTAAGTCAGCACAGATCCATCAGGAACAAACCCTTTGTCTTTGCGCAGTTCTGGTCTTCAAACGCATCCACAATCCCTTACGTACCAGTATAAGCCAGACAGAAGTCCACTTCAGCAGTATATTTTCCATTCTCAGAAGGGAGAATGTCTCCTTTTAGAAGGATTCTTAGGCTGCTCTGTCTTTTTCCAAGCTCTTTCCCGATTTCTTTATGTCAAACCTGTTTCTTACTGAGCCCAGTCACTGCCCTCCCCCATTTAATTGGCCTCTCTGGGACAGATGAAGGCTCACAGCTTTTGGACAGTAGGAGCATAAAGCCAGTTCATTTCCCCTTCTGAACTGGAAGAAGCAGGACACTGAGGCAGAGCTCCTCTGCTGTTCACTGATTTAAAGGTGCATGAATTTTTTTTCTTGTCTCCTAGAATTTGTGGAAGTTATTTCGCTTCCAAAGAACGACTTACTGCAGAGAATTGAAGGTAAGAGCTTTCTGACACATTAAATGCACTAACACGAGCTTCAAGAAACCCTTGGCTTCCCGTCTCATAGCTCTTCATGGCACTCCTCGTCCTCCAATACTGTATCTCAAACAGAAAGCTCCGAGAGACTTGGCCAGGTAACAGAGTTAGTGACAGCATTAGGTGTTGGCATTAAGAATCCACGTCTGGGATGCTGTACATCGTTGTTTTAGTAAAGGACTTAAATTTATGAAGAGGGGAAGTTTTTACAGCATCTTCTAATTTTTTTTTTTTCTCCCCCAGAACTCGTAGCGGAAGAACATATTGCAGTGGATGCCAGGGTTTATACTTATGCGTTGGCCCTGAAGCACGCAGCAGAGAAACCGCTCCAGGTTCCTTTTATGAAGTTCTAAAACGAGACAGTGAGAGATTCAGTTGCAAGCTGCCCGACTCAGATGGCTGACCAGTATAACTCTTCTTGTGCTAGAGGTCCTTGGCTTTCTTGTAGAGCAAAAGAAGTATTTGTAGGAATGATTCTGATGTAGGAATGACACTAATGTTTTTATCTGGAATTATGTAACTGACAAAAAGCATTCCTTCTAACTCTCGGTCTATCAAGCCTTGACAGAATCATCGTAATAAAAATGCTGTTGAATTTTCAGAATGGCTCATTTCTTGCTACATTCATCACTGCACTTATGTTCCAGCCTAAGGAAGATGCTTAATTAACTGCAGTTGGTGGTGTAACGCTGCCCGTTCAAAGCAAGGAAAACAGCAGAAGAGGGTGTTTCTCTCCTGCCCAGACGCACAAGCAGCATCATTTCAACAGGTCTCCGTAAATCCGCTGCCACAGGAGCAGCCACGGCAGCACGGGGACACCACGGGCACGCGCTGGCTGCAGCGTTTGACGTTGCCCTTTCAGGAACTTCCTTTTACAGTTTAGACCTGAAGATGATGCTCCCCTCTCGCAGCCCTCACCAAACTATCCGGAAAGAGAAAAATGTTTGGTTTGATCTAAGAAAATGATGACTCTGACAAAGAACACGACAGGAACAACAAACCAGCCGTGGTGCAGACCAGAGCAGGGTAGGACCCAGCCAGGGGATTCTGTTTAAGGTGTGGGCTTGCACACACGCCCCAGACGGCACAGCCTGGCAGCTCCCCCGCTCCCTCCGATGTGTCCGTGGACCTGGGCCGCACCCTGGCGCAGTCTCATCACCTCTGGGTAAATCTTCTGCCAGACAAACCTCCCCAGTTTCTGCGCAGCCGAATCCTTCTGATCACATAAACACACCCCCCCCCCCCTCCCCGCTCCCAGGTTAGGATCTGAGAGTTGTAATAAACATCTGCTACTGTCAAAAGCCTCGCCTCTGGAAAAAAATTTGGATGAGCACGCATCATTAGGAAGACTTACCGAGCTTAGAAGTGAAGCAGAAGACTTGCAAGATTTCCTTACCTTCACAAACAACGCAAAGTTACTTTCAAGTTCAGCATGAGAAGAGCAGAACAGATCAAAATGTTAAATCAGAGGGAAAAAGTCATTGCTTACAGCTGAGCAGAAAAATTCAGTGATTTGAAGGGAACGAATCTTGAGATTTGTTTTTTAAAAACTGATTGGAATTATATTCTAGAAAGGAAAGCAATTAAAAAAGACAGCCTTCCAGACCTTCACAACAAACCCATGCAATGCTACAGGCTTGGGGAGGAGTGGCTGGAAAGCTGCCTGGAGGAAAAGGACCTGGGGGTGCTGGTCGACAGCCGGCTGAGGAGCCAGCAGGGGCCCAGGTGGCCAAGAAGGCCACTGGCATCCTGGCTTGGATCAGGAACAGTGTGGCCAGCAGGAGCAGGGAGGTGATCGTGCCCCTGTACTCGGCACTGGTGAGGCTGCACCTGGAGTGCTGTGTTCAGTTTTGGGCCCCTCACTACAAGAAGGACATTGAGGGGCTGGAGGGTGTCCAGAGAAGGGCAGCGAGGCTGGTGAGGGGTCTGGAGAACAAGTCTGATGAGGAGCGGCTGAGGGAGCTGGGGCTACTTTAGTCTGGAGAAGAGGAGGCTGAGGGGGGCCTTATTGCTCTCTACAGCTCCCTGAAAGGAGGGTGCAAGTAATGCCCAGGTAACAAGTGATAGGATGAGAGGACATTGCCTCCAGGTGCACCAGGGGAGGTGTAGATCAGATATTAGGAAAAATTTCTTTACTGAAAGGGCTGTCAGGCATTGGAACAGACTGCCCAGGGAGGTGGTGCAGTCTCTGTCCCTGGAGGTGTTTAGATGTGGTGCCTAGGGACATGGTTTAGTGGTGGGGTTGGCAGTGTTGGGTTAACAGTTGGACTTGATGATGTGAAAGGTCTTTTTCAACCTAAACAATTCTACCTGCCTCACTAACAAAGCATGTTAGAACTCATCAAAAACCACTTATGAATTATGTCTTGCACAGATAAGACACAGGAGAACGCTTAATTAAATAAGTTTATTGTCTAACATTTACAGTTGTTACATTGCCGCTGTAAAGCGCGACAACATAAATAAATTTTGAGCAGGAACATCTTGTTCCCCCCCTTTCCCTTCTCTGGAAACTGCTTGAGGAACCAGGCCTTGTTCCTCAGACTCACAAAAGCAAAGTGGACGGGAAGTTTCAGTGGCACAGTTCTCAGAAGTACGTGTTTAAACAAAACTACGGGGCTGACCTGCTGGCACGCGGCGCAGCCAATCCCCTACAGAGCCGGCTCGCTGGCGAGAGGAGTATCAGACTCTGGTAAGGTGTTTGCCTGTCCACCCTCAGAGCTAAGAGAAAGGTGCCCGGGTGGACACACCACAACGGAATAAGGAGTGCTGAGTTCAGTGATGGGGAAATTCAAGTTAAAAAAGTATAAAAAAATTAATGTAAAATACATGCTACAAATAAATTTTGTCAAGAACACTGGCACGGGGCAATCTGAACCAGATTTTTTTTTTTTTTTCTTATTAAAGACAGGGAAATAAATTTTACATTTTAATGCTGTGTGCAAAAATGTTTACCGATCTCAAATCGATACATTTTACCATCTCACGGTAGTGGTTGAACAGCAAGGTAGATGAACTGGTTTCCAGCATTACAGGCAACACTAGATAATACTTAAACAAGAGATAATGTAAACTTTATTCTTAAGGCAGCTGGTACTAACGCTGCACACAGGCATTGCTCACTGCCCATTACAGTAATGGGACACGCAGCACTCTGAAACAAGTAAAAAGAAAATAGCATTATTGGACTAAATGACGCATGTTGTCAAAATACTTTCCCTTTCACACACCATGAAATATCTGGACATCTAGAAAAATAATGCACCTACTCCTCCAACCTCAGCCTGTTCTTTTACGAATATTTCAAAATACTGATAAATAATAGTGACTGCGAGCAGAATGCCAGTGCCGGACCCGATGGCTCCTAGGAAGTCGGCCAATACTGAAAGGGCGCCAATGCACAAACCACCAAACGCAGCCGCTGTAGGGATGTACCTGTACCAGAGGGGGGGGAAAAGCATTTGTAATCAGGAACTTTCATCCAAGGATTCTAACAGTACATCTGCTACTAAAACAACCAACTAGAGTATACTGAGCAACAAATGCAGTGTTGTAAATGCAGCTCTTACTACCTTCCATATTCGCACAAAGTAGAAACTAAAATAAATATTCACTGGTAGGAAAGCCGTGTGAAGAACTGAACACTGGCAGCGCTTTCCAATTAGAAGTAAAACAATTTTATACATGTGTGCACTACGTAACTGCCACAGGACTAAGAGTAACTGCTTGGACTGAAATATGGAGGGATAAATCTACCTTGCAATATAGATGGGCAGGCTTTGCAATACTGCGTAAAATACCGCTTTTGTAGTGCCATCTTAGCTTAGTAATGGCAAATTAAACACCTGTAAAAATCAAGGTATCTTCCTTTTACAAACATGGAAGAGACTGAACCCAAATTCCCTCGTTATGCCGCTCAACCAAACAACACTACAGGTTACTGCTACTCTTGCCTACTGCCATACACATCTTGTGCATGGCTAGGAGAGGCGGCAGGCAGCTGGATGGGAAGGGTCCTGATGTCGGCTGTGGAAGCAGGTCTCGGATTTTTCCGAGCATATCTGCTCTAGTTGACACCTGCCCAGCACTCTCAGCTGCCCAGCGGGAAGTCGGCCTTTCCTTACCTGTTGAGCTCGTGGACCATGGAGGTGTCCCTGTGGCCTCTCATCACCATCTGCTGTTCTTTGAGTTGCTTGGCAACCTGCGAAAACCATAACTTTATGAAACGGCTGCAGGGTTTCATCGTCACCTGGTGTTTAGTCAGAGCAGTAACGGATGCGTTAGGAACCAGTTCTACATTAGAGGCAGTCTGAAAACATTTGGGCACGTTTATCAGAACACCTACATCTTTTGCTGACGAGCCAGACACCTCAATCCAAGTCTTTGAGAAGAACGCACAGGATCCCAACATAAATATTATATAAACTATCACGTGGACAGGATCCTCAAATATTGCACCCATGGACTCTGGAGGGGACAAGTAGTAGCAGAGGCCACCGACAGGGTAAGAGCGAGCAGGGCCACCGCCGCTGACATCCTATGAGAGGGAGAGTAAAAGGCAGGCAGTTACTTCTCACGGATCTCTCACGTTCCTATCCTGTATTTACAGAGGAATTCCTCTTCAATGTTTAAAACAGCTTTTATATACAAATGTTAAAAAGTAAGTATTCCTGTTTTCTGCTGGTTGAATACCAACGTTTCACAATGAAGTCATACATACAAATAATTTTATGCAGTTAAAAAAGTGGTAAAATACTTACTGCCCACTGTCCTAGTAAGTTCACCAAGAAGTTGCCACTAAACCGAACGGACAACATCTGGGAAATCACATAGAGGTTCGACACTAAGGCAGACTGCAGGATGATGGGAATGTTGGAGGTATAAAAGAGCTTGATGGGATAGCTACTGTACTGCCCACGATACCGCGCAGACTTGATGGGCAAATCCACACGAAACCCCTACGGGAGAGAACACAAGCAGCCCAGGTTTATTTCCGAGACAAGAGGGACTCCTAGCACGCCTCAGAGCGATCCCTGACCACAGGGCTCCTGCTAGATGGACAAAGAGCGCAAGGCCCGAGACAGCAAAACCTAAAGGCGTTCTGCTACAGTCTGGATTACAAACTTTAAGGATTTAGAAGTGTTCCTGCTTGGCTGTATTACACTCTTTTCACATCTGCTAAATTACATTCCTCTAAAATATACTTTATAGAACAGGGTTTGATAAAAACCTTTAATGGCCTTTAACTTAACTAGCCAGTTAACAGCACACTTGCGTGCAGTAAGCCCAGCCTTCTGTTTTCTGGGGCAGGCTCCTATATGAGGAGATGCAAGAAAAGCCACACGGTTTTGAAAAGCAGGTAATTCATTTCTTAGCCAGAGCTCTGACTCAACAGCTTAAAAAAAAAAAAAAAAAATAAAAAAAATTACATTTTAGCTGCACACACACAAAAGATTTTAAAAATCACCATATGCATCTCCTTTAGTGTCCATTTTAGTAAATACTTAAATTTAAAAAGAAATACTAGCTAAGTATTTCAAGAAAATTAAGGAAAAAACAGTAAGTTATACATTAATTACACAGTTGTTTTCTAGAACAAATCTGTATCACGCCCACCCCAAAGAAGCAAAGTTCTTTAGCTCTGTCCAAAGGTATTCTTCTACCTCAGCAATGAATGTCAAGTATATTACTTGTGTGACAGAACCACTGCAGTTCCAGAATCCATTTTTAGTAAAAATACTCTCATAGTGTGTAAGGCATTGAGTGAGATTACTCACTGTCTGAGTGCAGTACGTCTGGCTATAAAATTTAACAGCTTTACTGTCACAGAGGTATGTCACTGAAACAACAATACTGAAATAAAACCAGTTCCTTACTCTAGTTTAACTTTCACATTTTTCCCCAATGACAGCCGTGTCTAGGGCCCATGCACTTCTACCTACGCAGCTGCAGAGCTACTACGAGGAATTTCTCATTTTTTTACCTGAAAATATATGACTACAGCAAATACAAATACTGTAGCAATCAGATTCATGAGGTTGGGCAAATTCTGTCGGTAAAAAGCCTCCCGCAAAGCCCGGACTTTGTCAGTTCGCGTAGCCAGAAGATGAAATAATGCGATCACAGCACCCTCAAACTCTGTTCCTGTACAAAGCAAAAAAGTAAAAGGAAATTTAATCTGTAAATTAAAAACATTTTAAAAATAGTATCTTTCTTCTGGAAATTTTAAGAATGAAACATAAAATCAGATGCAATAGGACATAAATACTGTTACAACAAATACATCGCAATACAGAATTCTGTTTTATCTTATAGAATGCAGAATAATCTACCAAAATATTATTCCTGGTTAAAAAAAACCCACAAACAAGTCACACATATGAAAGAGTTCTCTTTTTTCTTTCTTTTCTCGGGGCAGGAAGATGATAGGAAGAAAGAAAGAAACAATAAGCAAGGAGAAAAATAGCTTTAGAAAAGCAATAATAAAATGCAATAGAACTACTAAAAATCAGGTAAAAACAAAAGCAAACTAAAAACATGGCTCAGGATTTCAAATGTATGCATTAGACTGGTCAACTTCTTGATGCAAACAGGCTGTATCTTAACAGGGTGTTTCTAGGGTCTCAGGACAACCAGACGTCGTCACAGAGTGGCTGAGGAATGAAGAGATGGCAGTCTCTGAACAATCAAACTAGCTTCAAGTAATCTGGAGGCACCAACTATGAAAGTATCCTATAGCCACAAACAACAGTTGGATCATAAACAAAATTTCTTCTCTGTTTGTATGGACTAAACGATGCTAAAACAAGGCTACTTCAGTTTGGATATCCAAAATTCTTCAGTCGAGGGGCTTCAAGTCCCATTTTAACTGTGGCCATTCAAATCAGCAAAGACAAACTTGTAGGTTATTAATCTTCACGTAAGTCAGACAACATTTTCATCTTCAGTATTAGACAACTGACTTCAGAAGCTAATCATCACACATCAAAACATTTTTTTCAACAGCCATCCGATAAACATCTGATAGTTTCTGTATAGTACACATCCACTGAAACACGTTACAACTAATTGTACTAGCACTCGTACCTCTGCCAGTGTTGATGGTAGTGGGACTAAAAGCCTTCCAGACAATGGTTTCACAGATATTGGTAGCAATAAACAGGGAAATACCAGACCCCAAGCCATAACCTTTCTGTAGCAACTCATCTAACAGCAACACAATCAAACCAGCAACAAACAGCTGTGGGAAAAGAAACAAAGCTGAGCAGAAACAAGAATAAATCAAGTCAAGAATTATGTATTAATTCCCTGCTTCAGTATTTTCATCATGGTGGAGAGTGATCATCAAGTTTTTTATCTAAATATCATTCATGCAGTATTTTTGCCCTCTCACGTACAAATGCCTGCGCGTCTCACCTGGCAATGATCTCTGTGACTTTTCAACACTGACGCTAGCAAGCAGATTACTCGGTAAGCACTTTTTTCAAAAAAAGTGTTTTAAGTTTGTGCATTTACTGCTTTGCTCTACAGGATAATGACTCAAAGCTGCATCTGTGCCGTTCAGCGTGAAGTCCGGCAGGGTACTGAACAGCAGCTACTGCTTTCAAAGTCTATCGATTCCTGTATTTTGAATCAAACAGCCACTCCTATCTGAAATATTTTTTATCTTAACTATCCCAAGTTTCTCCTCCTTTATGGAATATTTAGAATTTCACGTACAGACAGACAGATACAAAGGATGATGCTTTACAGCATTAAAAATAAATAAATAAAAGGCAAGCAGACATAGAAAGATTTTTCCTTCCAGTGATACTGTAGCTAACCAGTGTCAGTTACACACAAAACAGCTTATTACAAACCTGAATTTTAAAAAGAAGACAAATTCGGCTTGCCCAATGGTAATAATCATCCCAAATACTAAAACAAGAGAGAAAAAAAAAATCTGCTCTGAAATCACCTACCAAAGAAATCTCACATCTAGTATCACTTAGGCAGGCTGCTTTCCCAAGAACAAAAACATGCTTAACTGGAACAGTGCTTACATTTCTGAGCTCCATTGAACAAGGCTCTGTCTTTTGGAGTATCACCAACTTCAATGATCTTCGCCCCAGCTAGCAGCTGCATGATCAAACCAGATGTCACAATGGGCGAGATACCCAATTCCATCAAAGTACCTACACAGGAACAAAAATTAATACGGTTGCCATTCAAGCAGCTCTCCTAAAGAACTGCACTGTGAGGTTATTAGGCCTGACAAAAGGTTTCTGACCTATAAGGAACCGTTTTCATAACCCTTCAAACATGTACCTTCCATTAGAGCTATGATCCAAACAAAGACTGCTATCTCCTCACAAAAGAAGGCTGCTGTGTTAAAATCTGTAATTTTGAAGGCAGCATGAAAAACCCGTGTAGCTTTCCCCTTCAAATATTTTTGTGAAACCATGCTAACGCTAAAGGTCAACGCACACTGAAGCTCAGCTTTTTGACATATCGTATCAAGGAACCTTTCACTGGAAAGCATCTTGTCCCTGGTTATTTACTCTGTCAGTGCTTCAGCTGTCACACTATCCAAACACTTAATTTGGAAGACCACAAGAAAGATGTGGTGGATCCGCAGCGGCTGATAATGCCACATTTGGAATTGCTGACTCTAGGTAAGAGTGGAGAAGTTTAGGATTAGACTAGCTGTTAACAAAACAAACACGTCGTTAAGTGGCTCTACTCTGCCAACTCACCTACTGGTGCAATGCCACCGAGGTACCAACTGTATACAACTCGAACAGGGCGATATAACTTCATCAAACACTACCACTGCCACACATCGGTTTATGTTCTAGAAAACCTGCCTGGTTTTCCCTCCCAATCACTTCACCCGGTGTAATAAAACCTGGGGCACCACTCGTTCTACTTGCACCCTCAGACTGACGCACCCACAACACCAGGACTACCACCTGGTACTCCAGTTTAGAAATATTCTCAGCAAGGTCTTGTTCAGTACTGATATACCTGCTTGAGTGACATTCTAATGCAGTGCGGGAGCAGAACTGAACCTACACAAAGCCATTAAACTCAGGAAGAGAGCCCGCCTCTTGCCTGTACAACACGCTCTCCCATCTCAGCACAGAAACATTCTTTCGCATCGTCTTTTTGGAGCAACAGCATTACCAAGAGATTTTGAAGTCTAAGTTGTCCTTCAGCTAATATCAGAAAATTTTCTCCTATCTGAAGAAGCTGAAAGCTTAGGAAAAAAAAAAAAAAAAAAAACCCACATGTTGAAAATTTGGATGAAATTTAAGAAACCAGAACTACCAAGTGATGAAACTTTCCACATTTCCCAAGCTGGAACTTTAAAGAAAAAATATTTGGGTAAGGATGCACTTCACAAGTTCAATATTCAATTAAGCCAGATCAAACTACTTTGTCACCATCTTTTACATGGTCACTCAAGGGACATAAATAATGCCCATTTTTTCTGACGTTAAGTCACGATATCCACCAGGGAGACTCAAAAGAGAATCAGCTTACAATTCTGTTCAATTCTGTACATTGTGTAACTCTGCTCTCATGTGTAGTTCAGTAGTGTTCCATCATAAAAATACCAGTAAGATTACTAATAAAAACAACCTATTTAGCCGCTGCAGACTTGTAAAGTCTCAACATGAACCAGTGACAGGTGAAGCACGGTCTGTAAGGTCATATGGAAGATGAAAAGAAGTAAAAACAGTATATCCATGGCTGATCAGCCTAGAAGCGTACCTACCCTCACACCACATCTCTGAGAGGGGCCCCTTCTCTGGGGGAAGAAGCATTCTGTACTTCCCTTTTCCCATATATCACTCCTTTATTCAGAAACTGCTCCTGGCAACTTCTGCCAGTAATTTACTGAGCAACTTTGAGTTACGTGTGCTGCTTAGTAATACCATTGGCTGCCCCTTCCCTCTTACAGCCTCAGGAAAAAGTGACTATCCAGTCCCTATCACCTTTTTTCCAGAGATGAAGACCTGAAAGACATTTGGGATATAAACGTTTCACAGCAAAGAATCCTTATTTTTTTAGGATCTCTTTCTATAGATCGCTATCTACCTTGGATTTTCCCTGGTGCCTTTTCCTGACTGTTTAATTCCGCTATATCCTTCATGGCACAGTAGATTACAACTGCCTGCAGTATTCAATTTGTGGCACCTCACAGAGTTGTATGGATATTTCTTTTGATCTTTTCGACCAGTTCTTAAGCCATTAGGTCTTCCCTCTTATCCCGCAATACCTTAATTTCCTGAAGAGCCTTTAATAACTAATCTGAATTTAACAAAGGGTTTTTGAGCACCTTCCCTATTGTCTGCAGTCTTCTTTTCATTTCTGCCTAACTACCAGAGTCCTCATTTCAGTTCTAATTTTTAAAAATTTTAAGCATTGTTGCACATTTTTTTCCCCCTAGTGTTTTCCCTGCTATCAAAATGTAAAATGTGAAAGCATTAAAGTCACCTCTACAATGTGGTTCTTTCGTACCTGCATCCTAGAGTCTAGACGCTGTTCAGTACCATGTTAGATATTATGTCCTCTCTCATGGAAATCTCTACTTCTCCAACAGCAAGAAAATTAGGATGTCAAAAACTTTAGCCTCACCTCACATCCTCCAATGACATCTAGTCAGCTGACTAAACACTGTTACCCTTCTGTCTGGGTAGTGGATAGTGTATTTAGTACCATATGCTGCTAGTGAGACGCAGAATTTCATACGCAAATTCTGCAGCAGAGTTTGGAACAGATAACTTATTTACCTTCATTTGTTATCTTCACTGGTGTGACAAAATTTGCCAATCCTAAATAATGTGTACGTTCACATTAGAAAGTTCCACTGATTTTCATACTTCCAGCCAGTTTTCCATGATACAGATGAGGTCAGTGTCCTCATTTAGAGTCCTGCATGCCAGGTCACCCATCTTACACTTTAGACTTCTAGCATTAGTTTAAGTCATCTTCTACATTTCGTTGGGATCCACTTGCCTGTTCTAAAATAAGTCAGTTTGCCTTTGCTAAACTATAAGCCTAATCATCTCTGCCCTTAGCTTTCCCAACTATAAAATTACTCACCCGTAATGTTGCCAAAATACTATGAGGTGTATCTGGCTTGTGCACAGAATGTATTTTCTAGCCAATGCTTTCATACTGCACATTAGTGCTGTTCATGAAGTAGTGGGGCAGAAGATTCCCTGTCCCATACGTTAATCAGAAAGAGACTGTTCTACCATTTGAAACAGAATCATCCCAAAATTTGAGAATCAAGGATAATCTCATCTGCGTGTCAAAGGAAACCCTGTTCCTAAGATGAAGTACTCCTCAAGTATCAGTCAGTTTTAATTACAGCTGTGTTAAGAACTTCACAAAGTGTTTCAACATGACATCTGGGTTGTATGAAATTTAACAAGCAACCCTTTTTCTCCTGGTCTGTGTATACCGCTACTAAACAGAGAGAAAGGAAATAATCTACTAACCTCTGTTTGACGCAAGAATGACTCGCATCCAGTAGAACGGATCTGCAGAATCTGATGACATGATTCCAAACAAAGGTATCTGTCAACGTGCACAGCGGTATTAAGCAGGTATACAAAGAAAGCTTGCATTAATCCAAAAATCTTAGTGTGTAATGATGCAACTGTTATACTGGTTAATAGAATTCATTCCAAATTTTTTTTTTTAATTAAATCAGAGCATACAATAGCAGAGATACTGACACCATCTATTTTACTCCCCCAACTAGGGTACAACTCAGAGGACTAAGCTATATAAACTAAGAGCCTTCTACAGGAAAATGCAGAAACCCCTACAAAGTAGAGTCAGTGGACATAAACCAGATTACTGAAGCTGAAGATGTAAATGCCTGACATATGAGGTTCTGGAGTACTATAACTCCCCAAAAGAACAGAAAAAAGCATAAACTAAATAGGTTGGCCACCACAAATCATTAACAGAACGGGGAAAAATATTAGATGATATTCCATTACTTATTTCAACAAAATTTTTGTAGCAATTCTGAGTTAAAAAAAAAAGAGAAAACTGTAGCAAACCATCTTTGAGAAGACAGAAGAAAGCAGTCTTTCTACTTTTTATTTTTTTCTAAATGGTCCTAAACAGAATTTCTTTTCAGTAGAACTTAAAGATACAGCATAAACTACAATGTAAATATCTTCCTCCAGCAAGTTTAAATCTTCAAAGTCTACAGCTGGGGGTATGTTTTAAAATATCCCATACAGAACTGTCAAAGTTAGCCAAGTTTATACAAAACCTCCAGTATTCTACATGCCAACATTGAACAATTTTGAGCTCTTTAAAACTCTTCTTAATCACAAAAAGTGGACTAGGTATCCAGGCAATCTTACAGATTAATTCCTGAATGCTCTAGTCTGCACCATCCGATTTCCTTACTCAACTACTACAATCTTTTGTAGATTCAAAATCTTAATTTATGCATATATCCAGCAGCTAGGAAAGACCGACAAGCTACATGTTCTTCTAGCTCTAGCATCATTCCTGCCTCCTCCTTCCAAAAAAACAGGCAGGTACAAGAGCTGGGTTTTAGCCTTTCAAGTGTCCTTCAGAGTTGTAAACAAAAATTATTAAACTACTGCTCCGAAGTCTGGAATGGTTAAGTTAATAAACATAACCTAAAAAGCCTGATTCTGAAGATGTACAATTCACTTTACATCTTCTAACAGGTCTACAAGTTTTAAGAAATATATATCAACTAATACATGGATTCTTATTTTCTGCAATATCTAAGTATTCTTTCAAAAAAACAAAGAACACTATCTGTTTACAACCCCAGTACAGATTCTAGGAACTCCTTCAGCTGTGAGTAATAAAGATCACATAAATGTTTTCAAAGACTTGTGTTTTAGAGGGGTTTTAGCTAACATTTTTGTCAGTATATTCACAAAAAAACAATGTCAGCTTAAACACCTCAGAAACATTTTTCTGCAATCTTTACAACCCATCAGCTTGTTCAAGAGTATCAGGTTAAAACACCACTTTATTTCACTTTCAAACTTGTTACTGCTTCAATTTATCTATAATGCATAATATTGTTCAGTTTGTTTAGACTACTCAACGAATAATAGCTTGGCCATTTACCCTGCAGCCAGTATCATAATTTGATAGGACCTTTCATATAACAAGAAAAAACATTATGTATTTTAGACTACATAAAAAGCATTAGTTTCTGAAAACATACCTAATCAATAATAAAAACTATTTCAGAGAATCACATTTCTTTAACTGAACTTTAAATACTTCACCATAAAAAAACATAACTGAAACTGGTAGGTCAACATGAAACAAGAATTTCTTATGCTTTTAGCATTCTCTTTTATACGTAGAGAATGCACATTTTTCTGAAACGCAGAAAACATCAATACCTACCTGGCAGCATACTAAGAAAATGAAGAGCGTGATAGCCGTCCATAGGACCTTCTCTCTGAACTGGATCTACAGAACAGATTGTAGAGATTAATGGGCTCATCGTACGTAGAAGTTTCACTGTACTCTCACATTAGTACTAAATGCTGTACCATTCAGAACTAAATGCAAAGACATTAAACCAGAAGGCATCATTTCTCATTAGAATTTATTTTTAATCTTATTTCAGATTTTATAGAGAGAGACAATCATAGGCTTCTGCGTAGTCAAAAAAAACCTACATGGGATCTGGCAGACAGCATAGCTGACATTCAGTCAGTAGAATGTATTCTATATATAGAATTCTAATATAGTGGGTATTTACAGAAAAGCAACAGTATGGCTAAAAACATGGACATATCAGAACAAACATGAAAGATTAATGCAAAAAAAAAAATCACGTTCAGTAATTAGCGCTCTAGGCTTCAACAGATTGCAGGCACTTTTTTGTAACACTGGAAGTTATTAAACTAAAGCACTATAAAGTTTTTAAAGAGATTTAACTGCTGTGAAGACAAGTGATAAAAACCAGAAGAACCATGAGTTTTGGATAGCAATTCAAAATATTCAGAATAAGTTCTTCAAAGGATGTTAGAGGAAGCCTAAATTCACCATTATGTTCATGGACACAGACCACAAAATTTTTAAAGACTCTTTCTTTTCCCTCCAAAATACCGTTATCGACGTAGACTATATATTACTTTAAATCAAAGAATGTCAGATCGACGATCATTAATCACTAACACGTTGAAGAGAATCTCAGGGTCACAACATTTGAGGCAACTGTAACAAGTAACAGGCACAAGAAGAGAAGAATCACAAGATCCAAGTTTGAACCAGAGGATTACTCAAAGCGTGAGACAGAAACACACTTGAAGAGACCAGAGAGAGCTACGATGCAGTGTTATGTGCAAGTTCCCACCTCTCCTCCACACACTGTAAACATTAGGGTAAGTGGGTTCACTGCAGGCAAGAGTACAGTAGCTACTAAAACGGGACATGAACTAATATGTAAAAAAGATACAGCAGAAACACTAGCTTTCTGCCTCCAACCACTGAATCTGCCTGTAGAGAAGCAACAAGAAAAAGGGTTAGTGCCTGGTTTTATAGGTACTGAACACCCACAAATGAGAAACTACAAACCAATGCAGCAGCACAGCTTCTCAAGCAAAAGAAAACCCAGCAGTAGTCCGTATCTTTATAAATGAAATCACGCACTTAGAAGCAAAACAATTCCAGCAATTTACTTTATTTACTGATACTGCCTTACTCTTTTTTTAAAAGAGGCCAGAGGCTAAAAATACTTCCAGTACAAAGTTAAAAAAAGACAAACGGTGACAGCAGCAAATAAATCCAAACAGTATCTTGTGTTAGACTCTATGCAGTGCTGACCCACTTTATCAAGTGCTGCTTGAATTCTACAACTCAGATTTTAAGTACAGATTTCTAAAAAGAAAAATGCATCACCAGATTATCTCTGCAGCCCAACAGTTAACCTTAGCTTCCAAAGTATCGGTCAAGCTCTCCAACTGCTCTGGCTCTCTCTGTAACTCCGGTGAATACAAGCATTAGAGAAATTCTACATCACCCAAATCACAGTTATTCACAAGGAAAACAGTCTCTATGATTCAAAAAGACAAAAAAGAAAAAGGAGGCATCTGAAGCCATATGCCAGGAACAGCAAAATACAGACGGGAACCAAAATATTCCAGCCACAAACGATAACAAGCACAGGGACAGCACATCCTCTGATCAGATTCAATTGGACATTTTATTCCTTTGACATTTTTCTTAGAACTTGTGAAAATAAAGTGACTTAAGCATAATCTTCCTGGTGTTCTGAACAGTGTGTTCTACTTGGAAAAAACTGTGCATTAGAGGGAAATACGAACCCATACTGCTAACATACTAAAAAGTAGCAATTGCTTCTGTTAATGACAGCCCAACTGAATCAAAATTTCATCTTCACTTAACAATCAATACAAGTTTAGAGTAAGTAGATTTTTTTCTATTTTGTTATGTCCATTTCCTATCCTGGCCTTAACCAACACACTAAAACCATTACTAATGATGTGTGCCAGTGACAGCTTGCAAGAAAACAATAAATAACAAAGAATTACAGTTATATAGAACGACCTAGGTTTCTTGATAAACTTCACACAAGCAAGGAACGTAACTTAAAATGGTCAAAGGGCTCTTCAGTCTAGGAATGATGTTCCAAATTCTATTTTCACTTCAAATTGGTACAAAGCTGGCAACTGGCAGTCATGGCCTAGACAGCAACCTAGATATAATAAAGACAAAGTGACCCAAATAGAGGACAGGAATTGCGGCACCTCCCTGGGCATCATTCACCTGCTGATGGAGGACACGGACAGATCAAGCCTCGCTTCCTCCCTGGCAAACAGAAGGGGAGGAGAAAAATCACAACTGTCGCTGAGCTTTACAGAAACATCAGTAGCTGTAGATCTGTCTTAGCTTCCTCTTCCCATCCACTTCTCTAGACAAAAATGAAATGGATGTAACAGCTAATCAGATATGCCATAAATCAGCCCCAGAAGACTACACGAGGGTTCACTCCTGCAAAAACAAAGATGGGTACCTTCCACCCAGATCTGGTGCATCCAAGTCTTAGCACAGGGTCCAGCACTGGAGATTCCTGCTCTGAAGATAGAATCATAGAATGGTTTGGGTTGGAAAGGACCTTAAATATCATGGGGTTCCAACCCCCCTGCCATTAGTAGGGACATCTTCCACCAGACCAGGCTGCTCAGAGCTCCATCCAACCTGGCCTTGAACACTTCCATGGAGGGGGCAGTCACAGCTTCTTTGGGAAACCTGTTCCAGTGCCTCACCACCCTCATGGTGAAGAATTTCTTCCTAATACCTAATCTAAATCTGCCCTCTTTTAGTTTAGAGCCATTCCCCCTTGTCCTATCTACACACCCTTGAGAAAACTCCCTCTCCATCCTTCCTGTAGGCCCATTCAGGTACTGGAAGGCTGCTATAAGGTCACCCTTGGAGCCTTCTCTTCTCCAGGCTGAACAGCTCCAACTCCCTCAGCTTGTCCTCACAGGAGAGGTACTCCAGCCCTCGGATCATCTTTGTGGCCCTCCTCTGGACCCACTCCCAACACATCCACGTCCTTCTTATGTTGGGGGCTCCAGAGCTGGATGCAGTACTCCAGGTGGGGTGTCACGAGAGCGGAGTTTTTTGTCTGACCTAAATAATTTGTTTGGAAACCTGTCCCAAGAGGGAAAGATGCTGCAAAGCAACAAGGAATGACAGCTGGAACAAAGAGCCAGGGGATAAATCCCAATCTTTTTAAAAATCAATTCCAGAGGGGAATAATTAGCAGTTTTTACTGTATCTTCTCCACGCAATCCAGCAGGCTCAGCTATGGTTACTGGCACAAACACCTCTGCATCCAGTCCTAACCTTCAGGAATCTCTCATCAACAAAAGAAGATTCTCTCAGGTGGTGTCACGGTCCCAGCTATGCATTTCCTTTTAAGAATACAAAAAAATCAACATTTAGCTCTTAAGGAATTTTCAGGCCAGTCATGACAATGAATATTAGGTAAATTTATTACTCTAATTAGAACTTCTGTCACCTAGGCGGTATGTGCTTGCTTTAGTTTTAAAAGAAAAAAATGGGGGGTTGGGGTTTTTTGGGGTTTTGTTTTGACAGGGCGGGTCTCCTTCTGATCTGCAGAAATTAGCTAATTTTAATCTAGAAAATGTGCCAAGAAATGGGAGGAGCTTCTAGGGAATAGAGAGATCAGCTGCAAATGAACTCAGCTTACTGATTTCAGAACAAAGAAGAGGGTCACGACCAGTAGGTGAACAGGGAGCAATTACCTGAGCTATATCACGGATCACTTTCCCACTTCATCAAGGTGAGTCACAGCTACGGGAGTGGAAAATATTTTGTGGGAAAGGAAGAGCTAAATCTGTGGTTCCTGACTCACAGCACAAGTCCTTTCAAAGTAATATGTAAGCCAGATCAAAGCCCCAGAGTGGGACTAGTACTCAAGGCCAACAGTGGCATCCACAAAGACAACAGTGCTATCCACAGGAAGAAAAAAAACAGAACTTGAAAACTCTTTTCTGGTATGTTAAAATAGATCCAATCATATGGAGCTGAAACTACACAAACTCAGTCTAGAGATGAGATTTTTTAAAAACAATTAGTTAGCATAACTACCAAGTGGAACAACCTATCAGAATGCTGTTAAGAATTCATCATCGTGGTAATCTTTTACCTTAACATGGATTCCCCCTCCTCCAAAGAATACATGCTACTTTAGGGCCCACTGTCTGTATTTACATTGGAGCATGGACTTGAATACCACAATATTCTCTTATCTGTGAACCAATAAAAATAAGAACATAATGTGGCACTCACTTTTCTTTCTGGTTTCTGGATTTCAGGTAACACTGCACAGAATGGCTTAATAACTTCTAAAAATTTTACTGTTCCAGAAAAACAAACACACACACAAAAAAAAAAAGAGAGAAAAATACGTTAACGAATCTTTATGAATTTATAAAACTTCATACAACTTCATTTAACTTCTAGGGGAAAAAATAAAGTGTAAGTAGCACTTCATAAGTGAATGATTTCATCAATACACATTCTAATTCAATGTCTGAAAACTAAGACTGTCTTCTTGAAACAGCTGAAAGCAGGGAAAAAATGTTAACAAGAATTCTTGTTCTATTCAGACCTGGCCCATCCCTTTTTTCCACAGCTGGAATCATTTTAGATGAGAAGCAGCACTGCATGTCTCACCAGAAGTGAACTAACTTGTATTCCATCTAAAAATAAGTGGCCTAGTATCAGTCTGTGCTAGTTAAACACAGAAGCAAAGGATACTGACATTTAAAAGTATCCACGTAGAGACTAGTATTTCATGTTTTACAGAAGTATTTAACTGAGAAAAACAATTCAATCTCTAACATATGTTTAGAAATCTTAATTTAAATCACTGCAACAGTTATTCCGATCAGAACTGGGAAAAGGGTATATTTGACTTTTGATATATATATATCTCTCTTCAGTTTCTCCTTTAAAAACACAGTTTGAGCTCTTTTTCTGGAATAAAGCGCTCTTTTTGAGCTCTTTTTTCTGGAATAAAGCACAACAGTTTCTGGAAAGAGCGCAACAGTTTGAGCTCTTTTTCCGGAATCAAATTTAAAAAAAAAAATCCAAGCAGATGTGCCTGGTGAGTAACCTGTCCTCCAAAACTTGTGGATTATTCCCAGCCCCACCACATTTGGACAGCCACAGAAAAGAGCCGTCAGTACCTCTTCAAAGAAAACGCATTGACTCCCTTCGCCCAAGCCCTCCAGGCAGCTTACCAGAAGGGGCACCTCGCTCCACCAAAGGCGGCACGGCTCCCACGTTAAAATATTAAGGCCAGAGGGGATAAAAACCCCCCAGCGCCCGGCAAAGCGGCTGCTGCTCCGGCGGCAGGGAAC